CAAAGAACACAGATGAGGTGCAGACGGTCATATAAAAAGCATTTAAAATGAAAAGTAAATTGAATAATTAGCAAAAACGGCAAAAAATGAAGGAAAAAAACAGCTAAGCAATGTGAAATACTATATATATTTTAGTACACTATACTAGAGTATAATACTATACATGTTTGCGACTCTGCGTTGGTTTTTGCCATGAACTCAATAGTTGTTTAAAGTCCCTTACAGAAAGTTATGAATCTTAGTGCACCGTGATGGACAACGTCCAACATCTGCAGGGTGCTTGAAGGAGCGTTCATGTAAATACAGTCAGCGTAGTCAATGGAGGGATGGAAAGTAGCAGTTACAAGAAGTTTTCTAGCTTTCATAGTTAGACAGGATCTATATCTAAAAAAGAAACCCAGTTTAACGTTCAGTTTCCTCATCAAGTTTTCAACATGAGATTAAGGTGAAGGGAGCCGGATCTCGTGGATCCATTCGTTTCAAACATCTGTTTGGTTTGTGATGTCGCTATGTACGGACTATGCCACTACAACACCTACCTGCTTGTGTGTGCCAAGAACATAATCAGATATTTTTGAATGTTTCCGAGATGTGAAGATATCACCTACTACTACTATTAATAACAATTTTAATGGTTAGTAATAAATATACTATAGTTTTTATTGTTACAGCAACAGTTAAATACCTTCAGACTGTTACTTTAATAATTCATAAATGCTGATTACATCTTCAAGTACTCCCAAAATTTATTGCTCACGGTTCTGCAGATAACAAAAACATTTCCTTTCCATCTGAACATCTGGTTCCACTGATTCCAGTAATCCTTGTTGACCTCTTTGCTGACCTCTATGCTCACTGATAAACTTTATCATTCCAGTCTTCTTCAGTCCCTTTTTGTTGACCTCATTTTTCCACTGTTAAAAGTGATGGCTACCACTTGATAAATGACACAATGACTACACACTGCAAGTAAAACCTAAACAGCTGCTAATTTATTATGTATACTCATACAGTACACACGTAAATACTCAGTGTGCTTGTTACTGACAGTGTTGTACACATCGTTTGGGTAATACTAAGTAAATAGCGCTAATATTGTTAATTTCTCCAAGTGATGGTTAAACATACCAATTGGCAACCAGATGCGAGGAGTCAGTAAACATCTGTCCCTTTGTGTGCGTGTGCATGTGTATATAATGAACCATTTAGTTATTTTTTTTACAGCCATTTTAACAGGTTGTATTTGTTCGTCAGTGTGACTGGTTGTTCAGTACAGTTTAGGTTAATGTGACATTAAATGCTGAACGCTTTGCATGTTAAATTTGTGTCTTTGCGCTACAATATGATGGAGTGATGTAATCTGGTCTGTTAGACAAGCCGGTCGCAAGATTAACGACAAAAAACAGATTTATTACTGAGGGAAGATCAATAATGACGAACAGCAACTTTGCATTTAGTTAAAAAATAATGAGTTAACCTCAAAGAGAATTACTGTACTAAACCGAGTTATTCAAAGAGGGAGATGTCTGTCACACATTTACTGCCGCGTGCTTCGTGTCAACGCAACAGAGTTCTTCCCCGCACCTCTTATGGTTCCACGATTCTCACATCATTTCTGAAAACTCACGTCTCTGGAGGGATGTGGTCAGCTCTAACCATGGTTAATGCTCTCAGAGAGAGCAGAAAGACAAACTGGTCTTGGCGTACATTTCGTGGAAATGTTTTGTAAACGTGCTTGTTGACTCGTTTCTAATCTTGCTGTTGTGTGTTCAAATATCTCTTGTTCCATTATGTTCATCTTTGTTACATTACACATAAAAGAATGCACACGTGACACAAAAACTGTGTGCAGGTGAATAAGCAGCCTCACATCCTTATTCTGCTGACTCTGGTCCTAAAAATAAAAAAACATGGCAGCCACCATAAACCAACTCCTGCTGGCTTCAATTCTCAACAATGAGAAAAGGCAGTTTATGGTCTAACCACCCAATCTCACCAGTTGTTTCACGCATGACACAAAGACAGAAAGAAGGCGCCTCAGGCCGGGCTTGAAAGGAACCGATGACAGCTTGAAATTACCCTTTCATTTTTTAACAAAATCAAAAACATCCCTCCATCCATTATCTTTTACCCGCATCTTACTTTTCACGTTACAGGGGTCACTGGTGCCCATATCCAGAAGTCACTGGGTGAGAGGTGGTGGACAACCTGGACAGGTCTCCAGTCCATCACGGGGACATACAGACACAAATGAGACAAACAACCATTCACTCTCTCACTCACACCTTGGGACAATTTAGAGTTACCAATCAGCCTAACATGCATGTTTTTGGTCTGTGGGCGGAAACCAGAGTACCCGGAGAAAACCCATGCATGCACGGAGAGAACATGCAAACTCCACTCAGAAAGGCCCCTGGCCGGGATTCAATCCGGCAACCTTCTCACTGAGAGGCAGCAGCTCTACCAACTGCGCCACCGTGCTACCCCCCACCCCCCCACCCCAAGAACAAAAAACATAGACTGACAAATTGTAATTTAATTGTAACCGACTCCCTCTTAAGTTCAGAATTGAATTCAAAATTTGACTTCTAACCTACAAAGCCCTCAACAACCTAGCTCCATCTTAAATTACAGACCTTATTGTTCCACAATTTCCTAACAGAGCACTTCGCTCTCAGACTGCAGGCTTACTTGCGGTTCCTAGAGTTTCCAAAAGCAAAATGGGAGGAAGATCTTTCAGTTCTCAGGCTCCTCTCTTGTGGAACCAACTTCCAGTTTCTGTCCATGAGGCTGACACATTGTCCAGGTTTAAGACTGGGCCTAAGACTTTCCTTTTTGATAAATCCTATAGTTAGTGTTGGATAGTTATGCTGCCATAGACTTGGACTACTGGAGGACAAAATGAACTCATTTCTTAAAACAAATTGTTAAAACTGAATAATTTTAATTTGATATTTCTGTCTCAACATGTGATTCTTGACCTGCCATTGTGTATCTGTTCCTCCTTCCTGTTACTCTCAAACCCAGCCGGTCAAAGCTTGACCCAAGTCTGGTTCTGCTGGAGGTTTCTTCCTCATGAGGGAGTTTTTCTTTTCCACTGTCGCCTTCATGCTTGCTCAAGATGAGTTAAACAAGATGACGTTAAACTCAAAGCAGTCTGCTCCTGAGATAAATAATATTATTAACTTACTTTTTATGAATATTTCTGTTCAGTGTACTGATGACTTCTGTTGTGACTTGGCACCATTATATTTAAACTGAACTGAAATTAACCAACTGATATTCATATAAAAACCTTCAGAGTATTTTTTTTTGCCAAATAGGAAATTAAGAACTACAGTATAGTCACTTTGAAATTGTTGTATTTTGACCTAAACGATCAGATGTGCTGAGTGAGGTGCACTTTCTTACAGAAACCCTTGTTTGGACTCAGGATGAGGTCGGGCTGCACCTCTACGCTAAAAAGAGTGAACGACACAAACAGAATTTTGATATCCGCTGTGGCTTACTGTGGTTCCACTGTTCGCAAGTGTCAAAAACTCTCTGTCTCCCGGGGTAGAGCACACAGGGAGTTCACACCTCGGCAGGGGTTTTCCCACAAACCTCCACTCTGAGACGTGGATTCAGAAACCTTCAATTTCGGAGGAAACAAGCAGTGTTGTGATGTACACGAACGGCTGAACCACAGCAGAGGCAAACAAGATTATAGCAGACGATACACATCCCCTACGATTCTCATTTGTTGCTTCCATCAGGGCGAAGGTACCGCCTTCCTTTATTCTCAAGAAACAGGACAAACATTTATTTCATACCACAAGCGATTGAATCAAAAAATAAAACGTCATCATAAATTACTGAGCTCAAACTTCTTTGCCGTTAAATGGATAACGCCATGTTTGTATATGCATGTCTTTTACGTAAATGCCTGCTGGCAATACTGCAAACCAATTTCCCTACGGGGACAAATAAAGCTAGCTATCTAGCCATCTATCTATCGATATGATTAATCCAAAATCCAGATTTGTTTTGTGCAAAAGTTGCAAGCATTTGACTCTAGAAAAGTTGCATTGTTGCACCTGCGCCACATCTTTTTGAACGCGTTTGTAGGATTGTGCTTTTGTCTGTATCTGCAAGTGAATGAGCTGGGCTGAAACGCAAACACCAGTTCGAATGCAAACCAGTCATTATGAGAAGAGCCACACCTATGCCTCCTTCTCCCTCCTCCACCCTGTGAAAGAAGAGACTTCCTCTCCAGCCCACATGGAACAGAACAGAAAAAAAAAACCCACTGCAATGTCAGGAAAGACATTCACTTCCAATTAAGACTCCTAATTCTAATTAAAAGCAGAATTCTGCTCATCTTTACCCGAGCCCTTGAGCTGTAGTTTTTTTTTTTCTGTGACATGCATCAAGTGGGGCTTTGCATAACTGCTTTAGTTTAACCCCAAAAAAATGCCTGAAACGCCTGAAAGAAAAAGCATAGCTTAATTGAATAAGATTTCTTGAACCCTTATGTGTGCACACGCAAAGGCTTTGTCTCTGTAATATTCTGAATGGATTATCTCCATTTTATTTCAATCTGTGCAAGTGAAAAATAAACAATTTATTTTCAGTTCAACCCAACATAAGCAGTATTTTCAGCTGAACAAGCTAAAAAATAAAAAATAAAGTGGAAATCGTGTACAGGTAACCTTTTTGAACTCATCCACTTAAAATGAATTCATTCTGATCAATCTGAGTTTTGTGCTGCGTTGTTTGGGGGGTATTTACCAGAGGCTTCCAAGAAAAGGAAGACACTGGAGTACAATGCCTTATCTTGTGGGAGATAACGCATTCTTTTGCAGAAAGTAGAGTAAGGTTGCCTGAAAGCACGAAAAGATTACTCAAAAGGAGGCCTGGGTGGTCAGATGTTACCTTCAGGCGCCACTGATACGACCTTTACAAAGTTAAGTCTTCCCACGTTTCACACCGAAAACTAATAATTCTACGGCAACAGATAATATATCTGCACAAAAGCAATAGAAACCCACCTTTCTTTTTATGTCTGAGCTTGTCCGACGAGTTTTTCCAGAACAGACCGAGTCGTTAGTTTGTCTCCCGAGATCACCTGCGCTCGTCGAACAAAAACAAACAAGAAAACAACCAAACGGGATTGTTTTCCCTCCACAGGGTGGTGGTGGACGACGCTCACTTGGAAGCCTCTTTCTTTCTTTTTTCTGCGTCCCAGAAAGTTCAGCAGCGCGGTGGACTTCAGGCTCCGTCACCTGCTCTGGCGCTTGCACTCTCACTTCCGGTACTTTGATCAGTCGCTACCTGCGCGCGGAGCTCCGCCGAGGCGCAGAAAGGGCGCGGCACGAAGTCGCTCACAACACCGGCTGGACTTCAGCGGAGCAGCCTGCAGCTCTGCCAACCTGAGAGTCTGGACCCGCCTTCACTTACCCCCCGTGTGGACTTCTGAGAGGAGGAGCTAACTCAATGCGATTTATGTAAATATAACGAAGGTAGGAGGTGAAGTAGGATCAGAATTAGCCAAGGAAGCAGAGAAATTATATATTAACATTTCTATTTTTAGGAGCTTTTTTTTATTATTTAGAAAAAAAACTCTTTCTTTATTCCTTAGTACAGTTTTTTTTTTTTTTTCCCAGCATGTTCTTTTTTTCCTTTATTGCATTTCTAATGAGTGCACTGCTCTACACTCAAAGAAATGAATCATTGACTTAACTTTTTTTTTTCAACAGTTTCCACATAATTGTATTTTGTTAGTTAAAAGCAAAAAAGTTATAGTAATCTGACTTTATACGACAGAGCTTTAGGGCCACGCAAAAAATAAAATAAAATAAAATGAGGAAAAAAAAATACATTGCCACACTAAGAAAAAAAATTAAAAGCCATAAATTTACGAAAATAAAGTCGAATAAAGTCTTATTATTACAAGAATAAAGTCTAAAGAATAAAGACTTTTTCCTTTTTTTTTCTTCTTTTTTTTTTTTTTTTTTTACAGCTGTCCTTAATATTTTTATTTCCCCACAAGTCGGATCCACGACGTGACCTGTCAGTAGAGTTGCATTCGGGCCCAAAAAAATCTGATCCGGCCCCAGCCCACAGTCATAATTTCCGAACCAAACGAATTAACAGTAATCACAGGTCCGAACCTGGAAAAAAACCCGACATAGTTATTAACGGTCGGGGATGCGCAGATGAATAAACGCAACAGAATATTTGGAGCTGAGAAGTGTTTGTCCTTTCATGGCCATAAAAAAGCATTTAAACATGTTTCTGACTGCATTCTTCTAAATTACTGACACGCGCGTCTGCTTTGGGATCTCACCTGTTTGGGTCATCGGCCGCGCGCATCTACTGAGTGCAGCAGCTGAATGAATGTCCATTTGGGCGATGGAGCGCTGCCTGGCAGTACAGTCCCATCTCAAGCTTAACTGAACTTTTTACCTCTTTCAAGGCCAGTCAGCTCGCGGTGAAATGGCCGCGTGCGGCTGGTGGATGTATGACAGGCCACGTTATCATATAATTGGATCGCGGCTGATCCTGACCTAATTAAAAGCCCGAGACCAGCCTGGTCCGCCCATTAATCACATTATAACAGCCCGGCTCTAATCCGGGTCGGTCTGGGCCAGGTTTCGGGTTCGGGTTAGAAATGACGGCTCTACCTGTCAATCAATCCAGTAGGCGTGTCAGCAAATGACCAATCCAAAGCTAAGTGAATTGTAATATTATCTGAACTCTAACACGATAAAGCAGGGTTTACCACATTTTAACTGTGATAAAATGAAGAATGTTTGTTAAACTTTATTTTTATTAACACTCTTACTCAAAACGTGTTCCATTAACACCACCTACTCTTGTGTTTTTGTATGCTGCTTCTGGGATGCATATACGTGACGTCATTATGTCATGAGTTTCGTTTTTGTTTCCATTTGAAAATGGCGCTCAGTGAGAGAAACTCTGTCAGCACATCAGCATCAGATTATAATCAATATCAGGAGTTTGAACCTGCTTACAGTAAGGTAACATAAGGTGACAGGTTGCATCTTGGATCTGACTCGTGGAAAAAAAAATTAACAACAGCTGTAAAAAAAAAAAAAAGTCTTGTATGACTTTATTCTTGTAATTCTACAACTTTATTCTTGTAATTTTATGGCTTTTAACTTTTATTTTCTTAGCATGACAATGTATTTTTTTTTAAGCATGGCTCTAAAGCTCCATCGCAAAAATTTGCTTTTGATCAACTGATAGAATTTTTAATTCAGCTATTTTTTTCTAGTTAACTAAATTCAAGTTAACAGATTACATACAAATTAATTAAGTAGGTCTAATGTAATTTTGTTATCTTCTTTATTTAACACCAGAGATCTTAAACACAACATTATTTCAACAATCACAAGAACATTGACAAATAAACTTTTACTCTCAAATGTCTCATATTTGGACAAGCATGGTCAAAGAAATACAATCTAAAAGGACAATTCATGTACTTTATACTGTGAATTGGCCTTTCAGATTGTATTTCTTTGACCTTGTATGAAGCATTACTCTGCAAGACAGAGGAAGAGATTCTTTAAATTTGGTTACAGTGTTTTCTGATAAACTCATGCTAAGATTAAATTTACTCTCAGTGACTGTGTCATTTAATGTAAACTCAAAGGTTATTAAAAAATGTTCAGGCACAACAGGATGTATTACTAACTTATTAATCTCGATGCCATAAGTCGGAACCAGATCAAGAGTGTGATGATGAGAATCAGTAGATGTTCAGACGTTTTGGGTAAAACCAGTTGACTCTATTAAATTTTTAAAGGCTATGCTTGAGCTATCACTTTCAACATCTACATGGATATTGAAATCACCCATTATTGTGACTTTATCAGTATTTAGTAGTAAGTCAGTTGAGAATTCGGACAAAAACTGAGCATAGGAGCCTGGTGGACGATATATAACAACTATAGTGAGAGTGGACTTTCCGTTTTCCATTTCAGATGGGGAAGACTTAGAGACAGCGACTTAAAAGTATTATAACTAATAATGGGTTTAGAATTAACCAATAATCTTGTCTGAAAAGTAGAAGCTACCCCTCCACCTCGATCAGTTGTTCTAGGACAGGGGTCTGCAATCTGCGGCTCTGGAGCCACATGCGGCTCTTTGGTCCCTCCGCAGCGGCTCTTTCAAGCTTTGAGTTCTGAATTTTTTAAGATGTTATACCCACAACAAAAAATGACTAGCTTTACCACTTTTCCTGACATTTCCTTTGCAAGTACGTGGCTACTAGTATTAATACACAGAGTAAATTATACTCTCTTTAACTTTATGCTTTAATTTTTTCAAAGTACTCAATTTCTCCAGAATAAAATATTTTAAAAAACACATAAGCCTGCACAGTTTATTGTTTTAGTTTTAAAAAAAAATGGGCAAAATAATATCTTTTTTTTTTTTTTTTTTTTACACAAATCCAGTTTTCTGTGATAGACTTGCGACGTGGATACGTGTTCAATGTGTTCAATGTGTTCAACATAATGATACTTCCTCCAGTTATTTAACAGTCAACAATGGTGTACCACAAGGCTCAGTCTTAGGACCCACCCTATTTACAATCTACATACATAATGTAGGTAAAAACATCCCTAATGCATCCATACATTTCTATGCTGATGACACAGTTGTTTATTGTCGAGCTAAAACTGTTGCTAAGGCTTTCCAGCTTTTGAAATCTGCATTCAACAACATCCAGACAGATTTGTTACGCCTCAAACTTGTCCTAAATGCCGACAAAACCAAAGGGATGCTTTTTTCAAATAGGAAGTTGGTCCCAGCAGTTCTTCCTCCGATTTTATCCTCAAATGGTGTCCCCATTGAGTTTGTTGATTCCTATAAATATTTGGGTATCTTGGCCAACTCACATCTCTCTTTTAAGCTCCATGTGGAAAACTTGGTAAAGAAACTGAAAGTTAAACTGGTTTCTTTTTCAGAAACAGATCCTGTCTAACACTGAATGCTAGAAAATGCCTTGTATCTGTGGCTTTCCTTCCCTCCATTGATTACGGTGACATTATTTACATGAACGCTCCTACAAGAACCCTGCAGATGTTGGATGCTGTCTATCATGGTGCACTAAGATTCATAACTGGCTGTGATTATCGTACCCACCACTGCACCCTGTATTCACTGGTTAACTGGACATCATTAACTTCACGCAGACTCTCCCACTGGTACAGTTTCATCTTTAAATCACTTCTTGGTCTGCTGCCTTCATACATCTCCTCCTACATGTCTCTGTGTGAGTGCAGCTACAGCGTGCGCTCTCAGGACATTATTAACTGCAGTGTTCCCTCAATGAGGACTGAACTAGACAAAAGGGCCTTCTCCTACTCCGCTCCTGTTTCCTGGAATAGCTTACAAAAAGATTTGAAGCTTTCGACCTTGTCCTCTCTAAGTGGCTTTAAGAATCTGTTGGACTCCTGGCAGGGACCAATGCAGACATGTTCCTGTTTTTAGTTTTCTACAGTCGCCTTAGAATCTAGCTGTTTTTTTTGTTACCTTTTTCTTTTAGCCATCCTATTTGTAAAAAAAAAAAAGAAAAAAAAACTGCAGTATGACTTTTTATAACTGTTTATTGTTGTTGCTGTTGTCCATTGTTGTCATCTTTCTTTGTTGAAATCAGGTCTCTCTTGTAAATGAGTCCTCGAGGCTCAATGGGATTTACCTGTCTAAATAAAGGTTGAATGAAAGGTTGAATGAATATAGGCCCTGCAACCCGAAAAGGAAGAAGCAAGTAAAGATAATGAATAGATGGATGGATGGGTGGAATGTAGTATTTTCTTTTGTCTCAAAATGTAAAAATAAATGTTAGCAATCATTGGATGTTTTTATTTTTTATAATTTCACGCCTACTGGCCAGAAAAGCCCCCTCTAACAAACTTAAAGTGGCCCACGGGCCACCAGTTGAAAATGACAATAGCAGGTTTTGCTTTTCTGGACAGGTTTAATTTAGTGAACTAAGGGGCAGAAATGGCTCCTTTGATCGTAAAGGTTGAAGACCTCTGTTCTAGGAACATGGAAATTTAAATAGTTAGGCATTGTGGATTCATTTATACTACCAAAATATTCCTGTTTTAGCCAGGTTACTGTCGGACAGAATAAATCAGTATGATATTCAGTTATCAGGTCATTGACTAACTGGGATTTAGAGGAAAGAGATCTGATGTTAAATGCATTTCATGATTTTATTCTTTTTGGTTTTGCTAGAAGTTTTGTCCTCGTGAGGGAGTTTTTCCTTTCCACTGTTGCCTCTGTGCTTGCTTAGGATGGAAGACTGTGATGAAGTGAAATATCAAAGCAATCTGTTGGCTCCAAATAAATAATGTTATTAACTGACTTTATATGTGAATGTTACTGTACTGTGCCC